TCACACTCACAGCAACCTCCAACTCCTGGGCTCAAGCGAGTCTCCTGCCTCAGCCTCCCAAGTAGCTGGGACTACAGGCGCCCGCCACGACGCCTGGCCATTTTTTGGTTGCAGCCATCATTGTTGTTTGGTGGGCCCGGGCTGGGGATTCAAACCCGCCACCTTAGGTGTATGTGGCTGGCGCCTTAGCCGCTTGAGCCACAGGCGCCAAGCCAAACTTTAAAGATTTCTCTCTGGTCAGCTCTTCTTTCCCTCTTCCACAGGTGGGGAGGAAAACATTTCCCTTGAGAAAAGGGGAAAAGGCCAAGACCCCCACCACCAACACGACTGCCAGACCCAGTCAGTAGTGCCACGCTGTCCTTGCTATACCTGGGTGGCATGGGTTGATGTGGACCACACGCATGTGCACCCCCCTACTACACACCCCTAGGCCTCTCCTCCTGCTTCTCTCCGTGTTCTTCCTCAGCTTCCACATCCAGGCCTCTGCACCAACACTTGTCCAGGCTTCAAGTTGCTTGCCCGATATTGCCATTCAGAAGGTCCAGACACCTTCAGAAACCCAGCCCACCAGAAATGAGGTCCTCATCCCTTTATTTGCTCCTCTCCAGTATTCCATGGGTCCCTCGCAGCTGTCTGTCTACCTGGTTGTCTAGGATGCAACGGACGGCTCTTGACCAATTCCCCTGAAACACGGGGGGAGACACTTTCACAACGACCATGACCATGGGACTGACTTTCCTCTGTCTGTTCAGAAGACCACCGCTGAATGTTGTTCTTCCTGGGTACGAATCTCAGGAAGGCTGTTGCTTTGTGCTTGTAGAAGATACGCATCAGAGTCGTCAATCAACAAGTCGCTGGCAGGAGGGAAGAGCGACTGTCTTCAGTGGGGCTTTGGTGTTATGTTATAACATAGTCACCACTTTCTATACTCACAGGCTGCTGGTGGGGAATGGGCGAATTTTCCAAGATCGATGAGAAGATGGCCAAGACATAGTGTTAGACAGACAAAGCAATTGCAGAGCAACAGTGCAGTGTGATTTATATTTCTCCAAATACTTTGGGATAAAACCTGAAAGAATATACACCCAACCGGTCATGGCACTTTGTTCTGGGTTATCGGATTATGGGGGATTTTCACTTTCTCACACATTTTTGTCGGATTTGAAATGCTTGCCTCGTGTACGTTCTTTTGTAATCAAAAAACCAAGGATGTTAAAACAGACAAGCCAAAACAGGAGACACAAGATTTGAGGAATTTCCCCAAATGTCCATATAAGACTCTGAACTTGTATCCAAGCAAATCAGCGTTGATGAAGTTACCCGCCTTCCTTGCTAATTTGTAAACTCCGTGAAGTCAAGGGTCATGATTCCCTTAAATACTTCAGTAGTCTCAGACTTTAGAAAAAATGGTGTGGTAGGCGGGGGTCAGCAAACTGTATAAACTACGGTAAAAGATGGTATTATAAATGTTTTATGCTTTGTGGGCCAAGCAGCAACATCAAAGATATCATATAAGTACTTGTAATGACAAGAGAGAAAACTAATTTCCACGCATTTTGATTGAGGAAATAAAAATTATTATAATTGAGTACAACTTAATTGTCTATTAATGACAAGAAGAAAATTCTTTGGGTGGGGAGGGTAACATTTTACTTAACTGAGGTTCAAAGTTAGTGCTCTATGTCATCAGAATCCATTGCAAATGTTTTTGATTTCTTTTTAATCACTTAAAAATGTAAATTGTATTTGTATTTTACATGCACAGGCCATTTGAGGCAGCTGGTCAGGCTGGGCTTGCCAGCTGCAGCCTGCTGGCCCTTGCATTGAATAATCGATACATATTTACTTAAATGAATGAAGGCAGGAAGAGAGGAAGATCATGTCTCTTTATCTGGGAATATCTGTCAATTCACTTACCAGGCCTCTTGAGTACGAGATCAGTAAATTTTTAAGTTAAGAGGCTGTAATAATAGCACTCAGGCTGCTCCTGAATATAAGATTGAGCGGCTTTGGAGGAGGGAAAGAGCACATCTGGAGATGAATTTGCTTTGGAGAAAGGACCACTCTGTTGGGGGAGGCTGGCTCTCCATGATGTGTGAACCCAGGTTCCAGGCAAAGGCTTGAGTTACATGAGGGCCTGGTGGAGCTCACTGCTCTTTCTTTCCAAGAGTGGGTAAAACACCTGCCCCTCTTCCTCCAGCTGAGCTTCCTGGCTCTGCAGTCAGGGTGCTGATCAGAGGCCGTTAGGGACAGAGAGAGTGAGCCGGGCAGGTGAACAGGGGCACAGCAATTATGCCCCCCAGCCCATCTCATGCCTTTCCCTTGGGCGTGAGATTGGTGTAGCAGATAGGAAAGGGAGGTGATGCACGTGGCCATGACCAAGTCCCCCTGTGGCTGGTGCATCCCTGAGACCGCCTTCCTACTTCACGTGGGGTCTGCTTGCAACTCAGGTCTCACTCCTAAGATCTGAGACAGTTAAAGCCACCCCAAGCCAATCTTGTTTGGGTACAGAGCTGCAGGAACCTTCAAAACAGAAACCTTTCCCCATCCCTCTGAGCTACTATCTCTCCACTGCCTGTGGTATCCTGAGACCAGGGAGAGAGGTGGCTGTCTTGCTAGGAGGGGTGGGAAAAACATTTCCATTCAGGGAGGCCCCAGTTCAGATGCTCAGCTCAGAGCCTGGCATGCTCAGCCACCCAGGGCTCACTTCGTCTCACCTCAAGCGCCCCCAAAGAATGCATCAGCGGCTAGTTTTGGGAAGCTCCTCAAAATGCAGTCAATTCCGGGAATAAGAACAAATAGGCGTTTAAAGCCATGGGGAGAGAGCCAGGCTGGCCAGGAGATCCAACCCTCCAAGAGACGCTAAAGAAAGCATCCTGCATTTCAGAGCCCGGAGAGGTGGCCACAGAGGTGAGGTGTCCAGGAAGAGATGTAGCAAGCACCCCCTGGAAACAGCATTGCACGGTCCCTTTGGTGGAGGTGGCCTGTGGCGTGACCAGTGACCACTGCCCTAGCCCCAGAGCACTGGGGCTGCTAGAGCTGGGGCTCTGAATACACGCTCCTGGCTCTGCCCCTTGCTCTACCCAGGTCTTTAGGCTCATGGGCCTCTGCTGACTTAACTGCAAAATGAATGACCTCTCTGGGCTGAGGTTTGATTGCAAATCAATGCAAATACCTGGGGCAGTCCCTGATTTCGAGTATGCAATAAATGCTACTTATTAGCAATGACCTTTTGGGGGAACTTCAGAGAGAGACTAGGGCAGACATAAGGCCTGCTGCCGGTGCTGTATGAGCAGCCAGAGGCCATACGAGAGCCCCGTGACATTCACTCAAGCTCCATCCTCCATCCTTGCACTGAGTTCACTCTTGGAATCTGCTTTTAAGCCCTCCCACCCCATGACCCTACTGGAGGGGACCGTTCAATACCCCTATTATTCCCTGCCCCATGGACACCAGAGACCGTGCATTTTAGTACAAGTGGTTTATTTCTCTTCCAGGTGAGATGCACATGTGTCAAGCAGAAGTCTGCCCACCTGGCTCCTTCAGGAAGCCCCGAGGAATTTTAGTTTAGTTTCCATGCATTAAAAACAACTCTTTAGCTGCCAATAATGAAACCTTAAGAAGCAACACCTTGACGTCGCAGAGTCCCCATCTGCCTGTGACACGGACGTCCCAAGGTGTGTTTATGGTACACTGTACATACAGGTTAATGCAGGTGAGACACGGGGAGTCCCGGCTACCCTGTGGACCCAATCCGTCGTATTCTTGGCTCAGAGCTGAGAATCATGCTGCCTTTGACAAAGCGGCTCTTCCAAAATGGAAACAGAGTCTCGTCCCAAGCCCAGCCGCCCCAAGTCCCTGCTCTCCTTGCTGGGCAATGCTGTGGGGGCTGCAGTGTTGTACACTCTGGCTTGGCCAGAGGTTGGAAGCACCACAGACCCCAACCCTGGCCCTTCAGCCGGCAGCATGGTGGGTTGTCATTTCCTCCTGGTGAACAGGCTGCATCGCCTCACAGGTCAGGGGCTGGGGACGCTGGGTGAGGATAGGGGATGGGGGTGGCAGGGAGAGGCCTGTCCTCACATCAACACACCATCGTATCACTTTGCTAAAACATTTTCAGACAAACTTGCTGGAAAACAACAGGGAGGGCACGGTTGATGTGAACATCACACGGTCCCCAGGTAGGGGACTCTGTCCAACTTTCCCTCTCAGCTTCTGTCTTCTTGAAATTCCCCCTCCTCCGGTGGGATGAACCCAGATTCCTATCAAACAGCAGCTCAGGACAGGGGGTATCACTGATGCTTATTTTATTTAAAAATCCACTCTTCCCCACTGCCTCTAGGTCTGTAAAGAACTGGCCAGTGCCAGCAAAATCTGTAAAAGTTGTGGTATAAAAACCAGGTGTAAGGAACGAGCCCCAAGTCTGCTGTAAAAACTAGATGTTCTACGAGTTCAATTCTTTGGATATTCAAAATGTTTAGAACACTGGAAAGAAAAAAGTTAATGTTGCTTTCAAAGTGTCTGTTCATACCTGAGACTGGCCCTGTCTCCATGCGGCTAAAGAAATTGCAGCACCATTCTGGAGCGGAGGTGGGGCTTTTGCCCTGTGTCTACCTAGGTCCACTGGGCTGCGACCCGTTCCTCCTCAAGCCACGGGCCTCCCTGGAAGACCTCCCCTAACACCTCCCTTCTGTGGCTCCAGAACTCTGCTTTGGACTGCTCTGGTCTCCTCAGGGATGCCACCGCCCGGAAAAAGCATCTCCTGGGCGGTGCCTGTGGCTCAGTGAGTAGGGTGCTGGCCCCATGTATGGAGAGAGGCAGGTTCAAACCCGGACCCGGCCAAACTGCAACAAAAAATAGCTGGGCATTGTGGTGGATGCCTGTAGTCCCAGCTACTGGGGAGGCTGAGGCAGGAGAATCGCCTAAGCCCAGGAATTGGAGGTTGCTATGAGCTGTGACTCCACAGCACTCTACCAAGGGTGACAAAGTGAGACCCTGTCTCTAAAAAAAAAAAAAAAAGCATCTCCTGACCAGCCCTTTCCACTGTTACCTGTAGGGAAATGGAGCAGAGAGGACTGCGAGAGGTCGCCTCGCCTTTTGGCCATGGTAATAAGAGGCACAGTCTTGGTAATGGGACCTGAGAAAACATACAGCTCCCCAAGGTGGCATCGGACCTGGCCTCCTCCTCCCTGCCACGCCCTTCCTGGTAAGGGTGGGGTGCAGGGTTGAGCAGAGCCAGGCAGCTGGGTTAGGGACAGTACCTCCAAGGCAGCCAAACACGGGGGGCATTTCTGGTGTGGATGGCAGGGCAGGCAGAAGAGAGACTGTCCCAAGTCCTGGGTCTTCTGTCCCTCTAGGGCTTTGGTAGGGAATCTCAGCCACCCTCTACGGGAACTTGCCCATCTCCAGATGCCTTTGGTTTCTATTAAAGAAATGCAGCTTGTATTTGCATTAATTAAAAACCAAAATGGAAAATAGAGGCAGGATCCCCTGACAGTCTGTTAGGCTGGAAACTCATTCCCGTAGTGCCTCAGGTGTTCATCTGCCACAGACAGGTAGGTGGCCCTCATGCTGGGAGAGTACTGCGGACAGAAAGAAGAGGGGACAGTCAGGGCAGGACCAGCCACAGTGTTCAGATACCAAGTTATGACCACAGTGTCACCAGGACTGGGGAACCTGGTGATGTCTCCAGCCCTGCACCCACCTGGATCTCTGGCTCCAGCCTCAAACACAAAATGCACACAGACCAGCCTTCCTCCCTCCACCACACCTGCCAGCACCCAGCCTGTCACTTCACACTGGGGATAGCAGCTGAGTGCACCAGTGTACCAAGGAGCTGCCAGCAGCAAGCACACCTAGGGGAGAGGTCTGGAGATGCAGCCAGCCAGGCTGCACATCCCAGCTGTACAAATTACACACCCCGTGACCTTGGCTGAGGTTAACCAACCTCTATCGTTAGTATCTCCATCTGCAAAATGGACCTAAGAGCACTCAGCTCTTACACGGAAAGGGTGAAATGACATGAGACGTGTGAGACCTGAACACAGAGGTTCTCAAACTTGGCTGTACATTAGAAACACCCAGGGAACTCAAAAACCCCCATGCGTGGGCCACACCCACTAGTGTATATCCACAGTGAGGTAAAATGCACACAACACAAAAAGCAATGTAATGTGCTACCAGTGCTTTAGTTCTTTAGTCAATTCCAATGTGCAGCCAAGTCAGAGAAACAGTGACCTAGCACAGAGCGCTCAACAGACCTATTACCTCTCCCACCCCGGGCAGCAGGGACAGGGCTTCTCACACTCCCCCCTGTGTACAAACCACCTGGGGATCTAGTCGGAGGCAACTCAGATTCTACATTTCTACAACCTTCTAGATGCTGCTTGCTTTGTGGCCCCAGGAAGTTTCAGGGGTCCAGGCCCTGGCAAGTTTCAGGTCATTCACATAGGACGAATTCTCCCACCTGGGCTGGGTGGAAGAGGCAGGGGTGTGAGGCTCTTTCGCCATTGGGTTTCAACTGGGGTGGTTTTGTCTCCCGCGGACATTTGCAATGTCTGGAGGCATTCTGGTGGCCACAACTGGTGGTGGCAGTACGATGCTATTGGCTTCTGGTGGGAGAGGCCAGGGACGCTGCTAAATGTCCTACAATGCACAGGACAGTCCCACAGAGGGTGACCCTGTCCCCCAATAGTGCCAACAGTGGGGCAACCTCAGAGCAGTGGTTTTTCAAGGGTGGTGTGCAGAGAAGCAGCATCAACTACACTGGGGAACAGGTTAGAAACACAAATCACTAGGCCCCACCCCAGATTTTCTGAATCAGAAGCAGGGTGGGCCCAGCAGCCTGTGTGTTAGCAAATCACTCCTGATTCTGACACACAGGTGAGGATAAGACCTTCCTCCTTCAAGCAGTATTTCCGAGCCCGCCTGATGGTAAGTTTGGCAAACGACCTCCCAGGCTCCTTCCCTAGGAGATGCAGTTTCTGTGAATCTAGAGAGAATTCCCAGTGTTGGTATTTATAATAACAACTGGCTTGGCTCAGCCAGGTACGGTGGCTCACGCCTGTAATCCTAGCACTTTGGGAGGCCGAGGTGGGTGGACCCCTTGAGCTCACGAGTTTGAGACCAGCTCAAGCAAGAGCAAGACCCCATCTCTACTAAAAATAGAAAAAAATTAGCTGGATAACACGGTAGGTTCCTGTAGTCTCAGCTACTCACTTGGGAGGCTTAGGCAAGAGGAATACTTGAGTCCAAGAGTTTCAGGTTGCTGTGAGCCATGACACCATGGCACTCTACCTAGATGAGACTCTCTATCAAAAAAGGAAAAAAAAAAATGCTCTGGGTCGTATTTGCTCTTCCCATCCAGAAAACAGGATAGGAAGGAGGATTCCTTATAGGCAGAGCTAGAGGAAGACACATTTCTAGCAAGAGAACAGGTTACACGTCCAGGTCACCTAGTGACCCCTGCCTGTCCTAGAGAGGGAGGAATTCATCCACACCTCAGAATTGGTGAGCGCTGGTGAGCATTCAGATTGGGCACCCCCAGAAAGGGTGAGGGACAGCACTGTGTTCTCTACTGGGGCAGACACCCACCCCACCCCTGGTCAGCAGCATCATTAGATGGCTCTTTAGGCAGGGCTGGGGGGTAGCAGAGTCTTCTCGGATGGTTGAGCTGGGTGGGGCCTGGCAGTCAAGTCTGCCAAGGCAACCAGGGTTTCCGGGAAAGTCTTACATTTAGAGAAGGTTTATTTTGCCCCTGAGCCTTACAAATAAGGTCAATTCTTGATTATCTCTGCAAATGGCAGGAGGAGTGGCCTGGGTCTTTCAAAGCAGAAGTTAATCCTCAAATCATTTTTATTTGGATGCACTGAGTAATTCTCTTTTCACAGCAGCAGATTTTCCCTAATTATGTTCTGCTTAGATTAAGGCTAAAGTCAATCTGCATTCCTGGGGCCACAGCAGCTGGTGGGGGGAAAGAGGATCCCAGGAAGCTTCTGGTTAGACAGAGAACCCTCTTATCCTTGCTCAGGCTGGTCTCAAACTCCTGCGCTCAGGTGATCCATCCGCCTCAGCCTCCCAGAGTGCTAGGATCACAGGCGTGAGCCACCAAGCCCAGCAAGAGTGCACCTTTTAAACCCCAGCCTGGCTTCTCTCTCTCTGTTACCACCATCCCCATTCTACAGATGGGAGAAACTGAGGCACATGATGGCAAAATACTTGTCTAAGGTCACAGAGGCCATAAGTGACAAGCTGGGATTTGACATTGGAATCTGTATCCCTGAACCTGGATGATCTACTGTCTCTATTTGCTGCTGTCTCAGCCAGTATTCCAGTCTGCGACCTTCTGATAGTTCTCTAGGATAAGAGAGCATGATCTTTTCTTCTCAATTTACGCTGCCCTGAGGCTTCATTTCGGGTACTCTGGCTGGAGGGGGCAGGTGGGCAAGGGGTACAGTCCTAGGGACACTGGGAGCTGAGCAGGATTGAGGAAGGCTGTGTCTTGGATCAGACCTCCTAGACAGGACACCACAGTGACCCACCCTCTAGCCCAGGGCCATGCAGAGGCCAAGGGTTAAAGGTAAACACAAATCTGAAAAGAGAAAACATTTCATTTAATTTTCCCTGATACAAAAAGGGGAAAGGGGCCTTTCTCTCTTCTTGGAGTATCTCCTTTAGAAAAGGTACTGATGTAAATAATTTGTCCGTCCTTTTGAGATGCATGTAAACCTCTTTAAAGGCTAAAGAAGACCCCTGCCAGCCTTACAATCCAGGAAGGGTCTAGGAAGCACCTCTTGAAAATACAAACACTGAGGCAGATAGCACCTCATCGCCTGGTCAGCGACAGTTCTCTGACCTGTCTGAGGCTCTGAGCTGTAACCCCTGATTGTCATGGAAATAAGAGACATTTTAGTTTTTTCTTGGATAAAGGCATTAGCTGGCAAAGACAGCCACCCTAATTACCAGGTGGACTTAGGGTGGACGAGTGTGACAAATGGTGCTGTAAAGTCCTCTTGCTCAAGGACAGAGTGCGGGGGGTGTGTGTGTGTGTGTGTGTGTGGGGGTGTCTTGTGCCTGCGGCCAGAGAAACACTAAGATATTTTTTCCATTTTTGCCACCTCCTTAGTGGATTGCCTGTGACACCCAGGATGGCCTGGTTTAATGCTTATTCAATCATAACACTGTTTCATTCTTTTTTACCTTCATGGAGAAGGTTCACTGGGTTGGCTAGAGGTTTTATCTTAAACTATTTCCTCAAGAAGGGTGCAAGCAGTGACCTTGCTGGGGAAGCCCAGATTACCGTAGGCGGAGGGGAGCCTCTCCCGATCAGCGGCACGTTCTCATAGCGCGGGTTCCCACCAAATAGCGCAGCTTGGTTCCTGTAGGCCCGAGAGGAGAGCTCAGGAGGGGATGGGCTGGGGGCGCGCGTAAGTGGTTTCTACAGGAGGGGCCTGTGGGTGTGCACTTGGGCATGGAGGGTGGGTGGGTGGGTGGAGGACAGGTGGAGGGGCTGGGGAGGATGGGGATAAGCAGCAGATGGGCAATAGGTATGAGCAGTGTCGCCCATAGCTATGCACCTCTCAGGCTGAGGACCCATCCTGGGGGCTATGGCCAAAGGCGCAGCCCAACCACTCCAGTGGGCTCTTTCAGGGGTGACTAGATGCTCCCTGGGGGTTTTCCCTCCAGGTACCCCATGGCTATAGTGGGGATCACAGGTGGACTTTGATGCATTCTCCCCCCCCACCTGGCTCTGGGGACTCAAATGTGCTGTCCAGAGACCTAGGCCCCCCTAGAGCTGGGCTGAGCCATCAACCCAGCCTGGATGTGGGGGCCCGGAGAGCTATGGCGTACATGTACTCAGAGACGGGGGCGTTGGAGATGGTCTGGGCTGGGGGCTGCAAGCTGGTTTGGCTGCCCAGACCACTGCTGTAGCTACAGAAGCTTCGGAGCTGCCCCCTTGGGGGGTTGTGGGCTGCGATGCGCCGGGCTTGCGGGTTAAAGGGGTCATCATCATCGATGTCATCATAGTCTCTGTTTCTAGAACGACAGGTGAAAGTCC